TTCCCCCGATAGGAGAGAGGTTAACATTGTGGTTTTCCAGTGCAGATTAGAAAAAGGAGAGAGGGAACAGCAGAGTGGTGCAGTGGAAGCGAGCTGGACCCATAAGGCAGAGGTTGATGGATGGAAACCATCCTCTGCTAGCTTTGTGATCTTGGCTGGGTGTGGCAGCTCACATCTGTAATCCCAGCATTTTGGGAGGCCAAGGTAGGAGGATCACTTGAGACCAGCCTGAGCAACATAGCAAGACACGTCTCCATAAAAAGGAAAACGAAAACAAACACACACACACACACAAGAGTGGCATTTCTAAATAGAGGCCTACTGACAACAGCAGAATTTACCACTGATGGCCTGTCAGTAAAGGAGCGGCACCTGTCCCAGTTAACACAAGCACCTTCTGCAGTGGCTGCAGCAGTGTTTCTCTAGTGAGGACTTGGTTCCTACAACTCTCATCTACAAGTCTGAGCCTGAAAACTGCCTCAGATTTTAGCAAAACAAGCACAGTCTTGCTGGCTTCTTCTGTTTTCCTCTGAGCTGAAGGGGTCCCGGGCAGACTCAGAGCCCCTGGTTTCCTCATCATGAGCCTGAGCGTGAGTCAGAATCACCTGAGGGCTTGTGAAGCCAGAGGTTGCTGGGCTCCATCCAGAGTTTCTGATCCAATAGATCTAGGGTGGGGACTGGAACTCGCATTTATAAAAGATTCCCAGGGGATGTTGCTGCTGCTGGGCTGGCCTTAACCACTGGCCTAACAATGGGCCACAAGCAGGACCACAGTGAAAAACTCCAGTCAAACAGGAAGATACATACAATTTCATCCTTGATCAGGCACTTCTTGCTTCATTTACACAGGTGCCTGCATTTTTTACCCCAGGGAAGACTTTGTGACTTGATAATTTCCACTTGTGGAACCAGTTGAACTGGATATTTATTATCAGATATTTACTTATACCAAATAAACATTGTTATACACTATGTAAAAATAGAAGGTGCTGGCATTCTGAATTCCTTGCAAGGGCTGTTCCTTCAAACCTGCTCCCTTATGGATCTGTATCACTGAGTCATGTAGGCCAAAAGCATTGTAAGCCAAATCGTTGGAACTCAGGAGTTCTGTTCCTTGCTGTCACTGCATCCTTCCCTCAACAAACTTAGTTTACAGTAGACATCAGAATTTTGTATTCAACTACTAGCAGTAGTTTCTAAGCCATCATGCAATTAATATAAATCAATTTTAAAATTTATAACCTCCTGATAGGCCCTCTTGTTAAATTACTAATATTGTATTTATTTTAAAAATGTTGGCTGGATGCAGTGGCTCACTCCTATAATCCTAACATTTTGGAAGGCTCAAGGGATCACTTGAACCTGGGAGTTCGAGACCAGCCTGGGCAACATTATGAAACCTTGTCTCTACAAAACATACAAAATTTAGCTGGGCATTGTGGTGCACCCCTGTGATCCTAGCTACTCATGAGGCTGAGGTGGGAGGATCGCTTGAGTCCTGGGGGTGGGGGTCAAGGTTGCAGTGAGCTGAAATTGCACCATTGCACTCCAACCTGGGTAACAGAGGGATACCTTGCCTAAAAAAAAAAAAAAAAAAAAAAATGTTAACAAGGGAGAGAGCTATGAAAACAAAATTTTAGAGACAGTGTGGCTCAAGTACGGTCTCTGTGCAGTTGTAATTAGAAGGAACCAAGGTGGCTGACTGATTTTGAACTACAATTGTCACTGACAATAAGAGTTACTGTGGAGGATGAAAAACTCCCATCATTCCCTCAGCAAGACTTGGAAAGAAGGATGAATGACATTCAGCAAATTTAATATTTCACTGGTGCTAAAACTCACATTGTTTTGCATTGTTAAATCTCTGAAATCCTGATGCATTTTACCATGGATGGCATTTTATGATTATGGTTGGCTAGGTCATGGTTGTGATGTGGTGTCACTGCCTGCACATGTACAAACTTGGTGGTTATTCCTGGTGGGATGACTTGTCAACTGTAATCTCCATGTTTCTCTCAACAGATTATATAAGGACCATCTGGAAAAGAAACATGCTCCCTGTTGTCTGGAAACCTTCCATTGACACCTTCAGGTAAGATCAGGAGAGTCCCAGCATCAAAATTTGTAAAACAGGTGTCAGTAGTTTGCAAGAAAACAGTAGTGAAATAGTTTTAAGAAATGCTGCATTATTAGCACATAGTAATTAAGGACACATAGGACATTTCTGTATGAATGACACAGACTCCAATGACTATAAGCTCAAAAATGACTCAGAAGAATAATAGAGATTCTGAATGTAAAGAAATTACAGGAATTCTTCAATGAATTTATTTTTGCTTATACCTTCCTTCTTATGTATGCACAAGAGATGTATGATAACAATGTAGGTCTAAGTCTGTGCTTGTTCACTAAAAATTCTAAACAATGAAAAAGTATTACAAATAGTTTAATTGGGAATATTTCCTTTTTTTTTTTTTTTTTTTTTTGAGATGGAGTCTTGCTCTGTTGCCCAAGCTGAGTGCAGTGGCGTGATCTTGGCTCACTGCAACCTCTGCCCCCTGGGTTCAAGTGATTCTTCTGCCTCAGCCTCCTGTGTAGCTGGAGGCACCCACCATCATGCCCTACTAATTTTTGTATTTTTATTAGAGACGGGGTTTTGCCAAGTTCGCCAGGCTGGTCCCGAACTCCAGACCTCAGGTGATCTGCCTGCTTTGGCCTCCCAAAGTGCTGGGATTACAGGCATGAGCCACTGCACCCGGCCAGGAATATCTTTCTTTTTAACAGCAACTTTCAATCTTTTTAGTCTGAGGACTCCTTTACACTCTTAAAAAATATTGAGAACACTGGAGAACTTGTGGTTTATATGGTAATATCAATAGTGACCATATTAGAGATTTAAACAGACTTTTAATACCAAAGAATCACAAGCACATGTTCCATTAGCTGTCAGAGAGGTAATGACATCACACATCATGTATCCTCTGGGAAACTCCAGTGTACACTGGTAAGAGAATGAATATGAAAAGAAAGGGAGGAACCACACTTTGAGAATCCCTGGCATATAAAATAATGGTTTTTTAAAAAATACTATTATATTTTGATGAATATGGATATATTTCCAAGTAAACTGTTGTTGGAAGAAGTAAAATACTGACTACATAGAAAATTCTATTGCTGAACAGTTGGTGTAGCATTTTGAGACACAGAAATTAACTGATGTATCTTTCTTCTGTGGCTGTGGGAAACATCCACCCCCAACCGCCCTTTTTTTTTTTTTTTTTTTGAGACGGAGTCTCGCTCTGTCTCCCAGGCTAGAGTGCAGTGGCGCTATCTCCTGGGTTTCCGCCATTCTCCTGCTTCAGCCTCCCGAGTAGCTGGGACTACAGGCGCCCACCACTATGCCCGGCTAATTTGTTGTATTTTTTAGTAGAGACGGGGTTTCACCTTGTTAGCCAGGATGGTCTCGATCTCCTGACCTCGTGATCCGCCCGTCTCAGCCTCCCAAAGTACTGGGATCACAGGCGTGAGCCACTGCGCCCGGCCCCCAACCGCCCTTCTTAGGTGGCCAGCTCACACGGGGTATCCTGTAGGTCTGAGTAAATCGACCCTAAGGGAAGGTAAGAGTGTATCTTCTATTTGGGCTCCCGAGGGCAGTGGAATTGCCTGTAAAGCAGGAGGAAGGGATAGAAGTTGGGACAAAGATGAAAGGAGGAGTGTGGTTTGGCCCCTGGGGGGCAAACCTGGATTTTCTAGAGACTAGGAGAGGCGGCGGGGCTTGCAGTTTCTGTCAGTGATGGAGATCTCTGGGGACTTGTACATGGCTCTGTGGGTACCGGTGGGCAGACAAACACTTGGTGCATAGGACACTGAAGCACCACCCAGGGTCCTGCTGGACACTCAGGCCCAGAGAGAGGGCAGACCCTGGGGAGCTACTGGCTTTAGGGTACCCTGCAGTCCGAGCAAGACGTCCTAATGACAGTCACCAATGGGCTGCTGCCCGGGGCCTCTTCTGCCCCTGTCCTGACCTAGAATCCTACAACCTTTCAAGGAAGGAGAACGGGAGCCACCACATACACACAGAGGGTGGCTTTCCTCCAGGGATCCTGGGAACCAGATTGACTTTCATTTAGAAACCGCAGAACAGTTACAGAAGCAAAAGAAATTAGTTATGACTGGATCTGAGGACATCTTGCCTGAATTGAATTTCCCAGCTCTGTCACTTGCTAATAGAAGTCCCTCACAGGGTCTCCGCTGGGCACACTAAATGAGTGATACATGGAAACTCTTCAGATAGCCCCTGGCATATGTATGTTATCTATCACCTCTTGAACCTCGATATCTTGGAGATGTCATAGGTGCCACACTACATCCTCTGCGGTTTGGGATGGCTGACGTTTGACCCTTTGCCTAAGTCCCCATATCGAAGGCTAGATTAAGCCCTAACGCTGGAGCCAAGGGGAGGGAGGGCAGGAACGTACTCTAAATAGAAGTGCTCCCCCAGGGAGTGGGCCACCCAGCCTGCTCCAGCAGCCAGGAAGGTCTTCCTGCCACAGTGACTGCAGCGAGTGGCGTCCGGCCTCGGAGGGACTGAGGGCACTTCTCTGGTGTGAGCATTGGCGTCCAACGCCCGGCGCAGCAAAATTGCTGCAAACTCTCCCTGAGTCCAGAGAGGTCCAGGTCCTCCTGGGTTTCTTTTTATTTTAAATTTTTTGCCAGGGAGAGTTCTGGCGCTCCTTCAATCCGGGGGCGCCTGCGAGTCTGAGCCAGGAGATGGGCGTGGGCAGGCGTGGGTAGCACCATCGAGTCCCTGGCCACCTGCCGGGTGCTGGGTAGTCTGGAAGCGTCTGGAGCCCGGACCCCGCCTCCCGGTGCCCCACCCTGGACCCCTCCTTCCACGCGGGTCCCGCCCCACAGTGGGCGTGGCCTCCCAGGGGGCGGGGCCGGGGAGGGCCTGCGAACGAGTCACGTCCCAGAGGCTAGGCAAGGCGAGGCGGGGCGGAGCGCTGGAGGCCGGCTGGGAGGCGCACATCCGGCGGCTGCCCGGTACTTCATAAAGCCGCTGTCGCCGCGGGCTGTCGCCGCGGTTTGCCTCTGCAGCAGCTCTGGGCTCTTCTCGGCTGCGGGAGCAGCTGCTCCAATGCTCCAGGGTGGCCATGGGCGCCCCGCACTGGTGGGACCAGTTGCAGGCTGGCAGCTCGGAGGTGGACTGGTGCGAGGACAACTACACCATCGTGCCTGCTATCGCCGAGTTCTACAACACGGTGCGGGGCGCGGGAGAGGGGAAGGCAGGCTGGCCGGCGGGAGGGGGCTGTCCCCGCGCCGCAGCGTCTGGAAGCTGGACGTGGGTTCCTGCGCGTATCTGGGGGCATTCTCTCCAGGGGCTGAGTCAGTCCACACCCCCTCCTCGGCACGCTCCTTCCAGTTCTCCATCTGTCCTCCTCTCCTGTCCCCATTCCCGACAGCTGGGCTCCTCTTCCTCCTCCTGTCATTTTTTGTGTTGTGTGTGTGATGGTCCTATTGTCTTGTTTGGCCCTCACGCGTCCAGAACCAGGGGCTATGTGAGCCCATTCTCCTTGTTTGGGTCAGTTGGGGGCGGTGAACCTGCCGGGACAAGTCTCTTCCTCCCCTGGGATCTCTGTGGCGTGACGCACTTGGGTCGCATTGTGCGTTTTTGCCCTGAATACCTGCTCTCGGAGTGCTGGGAAGAGCACGCCCCCGGCAGGTCCCCGCGGCTGGGGTCACTCCCACCAGGCAGACTTGCCCCAACCCCAAGAACATGCCTATAATGGTCGAGTTATTTTTGGTCAGAACCAAGTTAATTACTACTCGTTCTTTTTTTCTTGCCGTTGGTGTCCTGTCTTGCGCAAGCCGCTAATTCAACTCCCCCAAGACTGTGCTTTCTCCAGTTCTGAAGTCTGAGGGGTGAAAGGAAAGTTTGGGAGTGATAATGTGCGGGTTTTGGACTTGTCTAGGTCCCTAGATAAGGGTAAGCAGAAACTTCCCCATTACAGAATCCTGGGTGTTTTTAGTTCTTGTGGTAGGGAAGGGTTGCAGCTGGGAGAGGAAATGCCTCTTATTTGTGTATTTCCATGGCTTAGAATCCTGGTACAGAATGTGAGACTTTGCGTGGTCATTTCTGTGGCTTATCTTTTCACCGCCCAAACAAGGAAAACAGGAACTCCTGGTTTGGGTCACTGTGAATTTGAGGTTGTTGTTTAGGACTTTTCCTTCTGGATTTGCTAGAGAGAATGTCTTTGGCAGGAGTCAGGTGTTTACTGCCTGCAGGAATCTCAGATGATCTAGTCCCTGCCCTTTTATTCATCTGATGAGAAAACTGGGCTGTTGTGGAGGGAGCTGTCATGCTCACATTTCTGGCATGGCTGGGGCCACAATCCAGAAGTCTGGCCTCTCTCTTCCCTCAGTGCTGAAATCCATGCTGGCTTCCATACAAACACTCCTGCTTTTTTTTTTATGATTAGGTTACTTCCTTAAGAAAACCTAAGGCTGGGCATTGTGGCTCATGCCTGTATTCCTAGCACTTTGGGAGGCCAAGGCACTTGGGTGGATCGCTTGAATCCAGGAGTTCGAGACCAACCTGGGCAACATGGCGAAACCTCATCTCTACAAAAAAATACAAAAATTAGCTGGACATGTGGCACGCACCTGTTGTCCCAGTTACTTGGGAATCTGAGGTGGGAGGATCACCTGAGGCTGGGAGTTGAAGGCTGCAGTGAACCGAGATTGCGCCACTCCACTCTAGCCTGGGCAACAGGGTCTCAAAGAAAACCTGGCCCTCTGCTTTCTACAGCGACTATGAAAGACAGTGAGTGGAAGTGGCCATGACTTATCTATTGCATAACCTCTCAGAGCATGCTGTCAGGGGTAAATAGCTGCACACAGAGGATGGGCTGGAGTAGTTCTGGGTACTTTCAATAAGGAGAAACACCAGTGGTAACACAAGTTGTCCTTTTGTAAATAACGAATATAGTGAAAGAGTAAGGATTTCACCAGAGTTCAAGAAGAAAAGACAGCTTGATGACAGGTTCTCACACACTTAGCAAGGTTATTATATGTGGCGTCTGGGGTCTACAGAGAGGGAGGGTCAAGCTTGGTTATTTTGGCCAAAAAAGCTAGTGTATTGCTTCTCTGAGTCTGTCTTGAAAGTCGTAGGGCTGGATGAAAGGGAGAGTTTGTCTTCACTTTTAATCTAGTCCCATTGGAGCTATTACTCTACGTAGTGAGTGCTAAAGTCGTTTTCAGAAATGAACGGTTGATCCTCAACTGCAGTGTCTGGCTGATTAGCCCAGCTGGCCCATCTGACAAACTTTATTCCTTGGAATACTCATAAACCACAAAAATCGCCTTGGCAAAGCAGAGAGCGTAAGGTGTCAGATAATAAGGTCATTGCCTAGCTTTGTTGAGTGTAGGTCCAAAGAATTTAGCAAAAAATGTTTCTTCCCCTCTGTTCCTATTTAAAAAAAATTTTTTTGAGACAGTCTTGCTCTGTTCCAGACTTGAGTGCCGTGGTGCAATCTTGGCTCACTGCAACGCCTCCCAGGTTCAAGCAATCCTCCCAAAGTGCTGGGATTACAGGCGTGAGTCACCATGCCTGGCCTTCTTCCCCTGTGTTCTTACGTACTACTTATATTTTGATGCTTATCACAGGACATTCCCATGCTTATCTTACTCCTGTGTTGAGAAAGACAGTGAACTGTTATGTGGTGATAAATATCCTCTTAAATCCTCATAATAAGGCAACAGGTCTAATTACCCAGTTTATAGGAAACTAATAATCATTACCAGTTTTGAGAAAAAGTTGGAGGAATTGACAATGTTAAATCAGGAGAAGACTGGGAGAGGGATCTAGAACCTTCTTAATGGGTCTTAGGGGTAGCACATCACTACTACACCTTCAGATACTACTATCTACCATTACTTATTTGCTATGTGTTGAAGCTCTGCTGGGTACTCTATACTCACCCTAGACAATGGGTGCTATTTATTATATCCATTTGTTAAAGGTGGAAATTGGGGCCTAGAGAGTTTATGTAACTTGCTGTCGTCAAAAGCTTAGCACAGCTGAACTCAGAACTTGATCCATTTGACTCTACCAAGAGAGTTATCTTGAAGCTGTAAGTGCCACTGTAACTAACTTAGATTTATCTATTTGGCATAGAATAGATATTTATTATTTAGTCATTGCATAACTTAAAACTCCTGTCTTGGGACCATTTTAGCTCTAGGATAAAACTCATAGTTTTTGATAGGAAAGAAGTTTATTTAAAGTAGTTTTTAAAATTACTGTTTATTGTAAAAGTAATATGATCATGGTAAAAAATTTAGAGTATGTAAGTTGTAGCATGAAAAATAACCTTCTGTATCTTTCTAGATATTTTCTAGGCATGTAAAAAGCACATGTATCTGTGTGTGCATATAAAATACACATGTATAAGGCCGGGGGCAGTGACCCACGCCTGTAATCTCAGCACTTTGGGAGGCCAAGGCAGGCAGATCATTTGAGGTCAGGAGTTTGAGACCAACCTGGCCAACATGGTGCAACCTCATCTCTACTAAAAATACAAACAAATTAGCTGGTTGTGGTGGTACGTGACTGTAATCCCAGCTACTCAGAAGGCTGAGGCAGAAGAATTGCTTGAACCTGGGAGGTGGAGGCTGCAGTGAGCTGAGATCGCACCACTGCACACTCCAGCCTGGGTGACAGAGCAAGACTCTGTCTCAAAACAAACAAACAAACAAACAAAAAACCCAACAACAACAACAAAAGCATGTATAGCAAAATCACGAATACTTGAAGTTTTTTTCCAACCCATTTGAGAGCGTACTGTGTAAACTCTTATGTACCTTGTGTTTTTCACTTAATATGTCTTGGAGATATTTCCATATCAGCTCATATAGTGCTCTCTTCCTGTTTATAATGGTTATACAGTACTCCCTTTAATGGATTGATCATAATTTATTTATCTAATCAATCCTTATTGATGGACATTTCATATAGTTTCTGTTTTATTGTTTTCATTTTGGTTTTTGAACAGTGATTCAGTGAATATCCTCATTCATGCATCTGGATGTACTTTTGCAAGTACTAATCTTAGATGGGGATTGCTGTGTCAAGGAGGATATTCGCTTTAAATGCTGATAATTAGTGTGAAATGGCACACTAAAGAGAGTGCACTGATTTCCACTGACAATGTTTGGGCATACAAAACATTTTGCTTTGGCCTATGCAAATCTCTATTGCCTCAAATGTTATCATCCTTTGCTTCAGCCAAGCCTAATATCTCTTCCATGAACATGTAATTTCCTTTCACAGCCTTTTATTTGTGCACATTTTGTACTATTTCTTCTAAATACAAATTTTATTGAATTGAGTTCCTTTTTATGTTTTAAGATTTAAGACCCCCTGGCTGGGTATGGTGGCTCACGCCTGTAATCCCAGCTCTTTGGGAGGCTGAGGTGGGAGGATCACTTGAGGTCAGGAGTTTGAGGCCAGCCTGGCCAACATGGCAAAACCCCATCTCTACCAAAAATACAAAAAACTAGTCAAGTGTGGTACGTACCTATAGTCCCAGCTACTCGGGAGGCTGAGGCAGGAGAATTGCTTGAACCTGGGAGGTGGAGGTTGCAGTGAGCCGAGATCAGGCCACTGCACTCCAGTCTGGGTGAGAGAGCAAGATTCCATCTTAAGAAAAAAAAAGAAAAGAAAAGATTTAAGGCCCCAGTCACATAGACCTAGCCACTTTGGAGAAAAGCTGGGTCTGCCTTTTACCCACTGAGCTTGGCCTTTGGGGACTCTGTTGCTCAGCAGGGACTTGAGGACAGAAGGAAGTCAACTGATGGCTGAAAAGAATCTTGAAGCAAAATACATGCATAAAATCAGTTCATGATCTGTCACTTTCTGCTCTGTCCCCAGTCATCAAGATAAATAGACCTCTCGTTTTATGCCAAGTCCTACATCCCACTCTCTTTAGGCTGAATCTATCGGTCGATCTATCAGTCTGAGCATTTACTGGGCAACAACTGTGTGCTTATTACAGAGACCAGCTCTGTAAATAGTCATCTGGGTGGTGAGGGCTATGATAGAGGTGTGTACAAGCCGCTGAGGGTGTTATTAGTAGTGTGCATGGGATTGATGTACTGTGAGGATAGAGTGGTGGTTTTTGCAACAAGGCTACTGAATAGAGTGACCAAACCCATCCTGGGTTTTTGCCTGAGACTTTTCTGATTTTAAAACTGAACGTCC